CCCAATCAGCAATGGGAGTCGATGATCGCCTGTTTACACTTCATCATAGGGTGATAAGCGACACTTTTCTTCTGCGCTGCACACGGTGATTCATTAAGCAGACTGGATGGTAAATTGTCTATTGGAGCTAACAAAACCTGGTCCACTCGTTGCCCCTCTGGGGGAAATGACTGCAGCGTTTTTGTGTATTGGAGGCGTCCAGCGCATGTTTGGAAACGGACTCTCAGCAAGGGCTCCAAGCTCTGTTCATTAGAAGACAGTGTATGAAAAATAAATTATGATGCAAGATCCCTCCTGCATATGAGGCCATTATTCAATCGGCGACCCCTCACGCAAAACATCCACTCTGCTCCAAGCATTGTGGTATTTTGGTGAGATCTGACTGGAGTGGCAGGGGGGAAATGCTGTATGTCTACGCCGAATTCAAGAGTTTGGGGAAAATGTTTTAAGTAGTAGGGTCGTAATCATTTACCTTAGCACATGAGCCAACAGCCTTTAATTTCCAGATTTCCTAACGAAGTTCGGACTTCGGACTAAACATTTATATATTTTTGGACATTTTTTTATACAACCTAGTAGCCTAATGAATGAGATATGATTATAATTTGGCAGATCCTTGGACTCCACTGAGCTCTAGGACTTCCATTTTCAAGACAATCTTACCCATCACACAAATAATAATTTATTTATTAAAGTTGTTTTTTCCTCATAAAAAACAATACATTCATCTTAAATGGACCCATATTCCCATATCTCGTTGCTTCTTCTGCAGGAGAGAGAGGGAGATGAGCAATAGGAGAGTAAGAGTGAACTCATCATCAAGTCATCTCTAATATGCCACGGAACATTACAGCCCCCCAAAAATCGATTAACCGTGGACAGTGCTTTATGACTCTGAGCAGAAGTAGGACTCCTCCGACCAGGACACAATTAGAAGCAGACACAATGTTCCTTTTCATTTTTAATTTTTTTTACAACGTCGCTCCACAGTCCAGGAGCCTCTCTGGGGTGAAAACAATAACCCGATATGAAACACTGCTGGCATGCATGGAAGAAACATGCAGCAACAGATTTTTACAGACCCTAATGTGACATCGTTAAAAGGACATTATCGAAATTTGCTCTCATACATGCCGAGGGAGTGTGTGTGTGTGTGTGTGTGTGTGTGTGCGTGCGTGCGTGCGCGCGCGCGCGCACCCGTGTGTGGGAGAGGGAGGTATCGGCTGTTAATCATGCATAATGGCATAATGGTGCAGCTGGATGGATACACACATGGACACCTCACTCTCCATCACCGGCGCTGTGTATTTGCTCTTGTTTGTCAGACGCGCCGGCTTGCAGGTCATAAACTCGGGGTTGTTTAACAGTATCACCCCCTCCTCCTCCTCCCCCCTTCCTTAATCTGTCTGTCTGACTACACAGCGCACACTCACAGGGGACCGCATCCTGTTTGCTGGTCGGACAGGGAGGTGTGAATATTCAGCCAGTGAGCTCTGATAGCCTGGCAGATGTGCCCCCCTCTCTCTTTCTCTCTTTCTCTTTCTCCCGTTCCACTCCGTGGTTTTCATCTCGCTCTCCTCTTCTCTCTCACACACACACAAACACACACACACAAATACATACACACACACCACGTGTTCCACATCACATGGAAGCTTTGCTGCACTAACAAGCATGACAGTGAGACTTAAATAGTCTTGTGATTTGTTAAAAAAAAAAGGTAAAAAGAAATAAAAGTAAAAAATAAGCGGCTTCTTTATGCGTTCATTTGCATGTTCTGCTAGGGCAGTAATTCACGGTGATTCAGAGACCCTTTCTAATAGGATTTATGGCACCCAAAGGCTCCCATATGGCTCATAGAACAAACTCTGTTTAAAGTATATGCGACCCTCCAGCTCTCCTGTATTAATCTGCTGCAAATGCATCTTAAAGACCCAATTATTTCTGACTCATGTTTAGAGAAGCCGTGATACACACTCCAGTCGTAATTGCAATGTACCGTCACATTCCTAACTTATGTGCGTATTTCAGGTTATTCTATCGTGGGCAGACATCTGAAGGAGGTAACTCATTCAGAGATGTCGGAAAATGATCTTTGACGCCAAAAATAATCACATCCAGAGAGCTGACCTAAGCTGCATCCCATGTTGTTTTTTTGTCCCACCACAGGAGCTGCAATCTTCATCTAACAGTACCATTGCACATCAGTTAAAGGCAGGATGTAGCTCAGAGCGAGCCGTAAAAGCTGACAGAGCCTCACAACAAGGAGTGCATGATGCTTTTACAGCCACTGTTATGCTGATGCTGATAATGATGGTAATAAGAGGCGGCCCGCTCAGTTGTAAAGCTAATTTTGTGCTGCTGCCGGCAACGGAAAAGGGCGACTGGGCCCTTCCTCACTCAATATGCAAATTGCAGATGTCTTGCAGAGTTGATGTTTATTCATACAAACGGAATCAATTCGCAGACACAGTCGAAACTTCAGAGAGAAAAGGACCTTCGCACCGTCACTATTTCCGAATCGGGATCCATGATGGAGAGTGTGTGACAATAATTACTGAAGGTAATTAGCGGGCAGAGGCCATCTCCAAATGTACTGGGCATGGTTGTTGTAGGGCGTGCTTGGTTTATTTTGACACCTTGGGGAGAAGGCCAATGTAGGTGAAGAAGCCTTCCAACATTTGCCAGCAATAAATATAAAGAGATGGAGACAAAGTGGAGCAACAGGTGACAGACTGTTATTATATTTTCAGTCTGAATGCTTCCTGATAAGGTATTTTATGTTGTAGGGAATCAGATATGACTGCAAGAAAGGTGGAAGTAGTATTCAGATCCTTAAAGGTCCAGTGTGTATATAAGGTAGTTAAAATCACCCCACCTACCTTGGCCAACAACAACAAAAACAACAGTAAAATGCTGCTTACACTTTAATGCATTAGTAACAATAATGCAGTAATATAACATTATAACACTGACAGGAGCCA